ATATATATATATATTGGTTGATGTACCGATCAACTTTGCATGCTTGGAATCCACAGAGCAAAGTAGTTAGGTTTGGGTCACGCTTGAAAAGTCTAAGGACTGACTGCAAAAGACATTAAACAACATAAACATATTCAAACTTTTTGGAATTTAATATTAAAATAATTAGTTTAAATAGGACGATACACTTCAAGTTTCGTCCGTCTCCACTCTTGTTCAATTATAACCTAAATGTCTAGGATAGGGGGACCTCTGACTTCGCTGTACTAACCTTTTTTCTTTTTCTAAAGTTTAGACTTTTATTTAATCATGTGACCACCAACATGTGCCGCTGCCTAAATTATTTTCACCATCGAAGCTTATAACAGTGACGTTGGAATTTGGATTACTAATTCAAAGACGGAACCCTAACTTCAGAAAACAATTATTTCAAAACTTGTAATTAGAATTATAACCTCATAATACATATGTTTATATACACGTTTAATTATATCTAATAATGTCAATCTCGTGTGACCATCGTGTGCAAGGATATCAGTCAACTACAACATGAGTTGTGAAAATGATAACCAAAATTGGAGATAAATTAGAAAAGGAATAGATCTAATGCGACTGGAACCACTGGAACCCCTTGTCTCACATCTTACACAACACCCATGGTGCGGCTGGAGAGCGCAAATCGTGCCGCACCAAGCTTAGCGGGCACGCTTTGCGGAACCGGCATGGTGCGGCACCATTGGCCCCAAAACGTGCCTATCACATCGTGATGGTGCACCGATGACCAAAAGGAGCCTTAGCATATTTAAGGCTCCCATATTGAATGGTTCTTCTGGTTCCCAAACACCACCAAGTACAGTTAAAAAAATAAAGGAAAAAGCAATGAAAAGACCCAGGATGGGAATGTCACTAGCAGGAAGAAGAGCAACTTTCAACCTTTTCTTTCCTGTTTATAGTGTTCTGCATCATTTTTGAGGACTTCTATAACAGTCAAATATCAAAGACCAACTCTGTTTATGACATCGCAAGAGCATTCCAGTCAAGAATTTTACCGGTGTCATAACTCAAAGGTTAAGAATTTTAGGCAAAGGCCTTCTCAATGGTAAACATACAATTACTGAAAGGTTCAAAATCTATGTGAAGGAAAAACTATTTTTTCTTTCGTCAAAAAATACAGAAGACTTTAAGGTTCCGGCTGCATTTTCTCACATTCATCTCGAATAGACTGGAAAAGTACAGAGGAGAGGTATCGCTCGCCAAAGCTTGGAAAGACAACCTGAAAGTATTTTAAATTCTCAAGAGTTAATATCATATACCAAATAGGAACAAAATATATTTGTATATTTGTTTCATGCTGCCTAAAGTGAATGACCGGCAATAGAAAGAGACATGTTTTAAAATGGATGTGTAGCTACCAAAAAGAAGAACTGCATTCAATATTTGCTCAAACAATTACTTGATAATTCATATATATTTGTTTTTGGCGAGAGATGACCTAAGCAACTGGTTTTCTAATCGCTAATGCCAAAAAGTAAGACAAGGTGCTAATAGTGGGAACTGTGCTATTAGAGTTTTCCTGATTGCTAATGTCAAAAAGTAAAAGAAAGTGTAAAAAATGAGAACCATGCTTTTAGAATCCACTATGGCATACACCATCAGCCAGCCAATTAAGAATACAGCCAAAACTACTAGCCGCCAGTCAAGTCATTTTTGCTTTGATTAGTTCCTCACACACAGATAGACATGCATGTTTGATGTAGGCATCCAAGAAATGAACAAAAAAGAAGAAGAGGGATTTGGGTGGGTGGGGGGAAATGTTTGGGAATAAAAAAGCAAAATTAGGCAGGTTGGCGATATGGCACGAGAACACAACAGTTTGGATTCAGGTTGGAAATGTCCACATGAGTTTTTTCTTGGTGTGATGTTCACATGAGTTCAACCAGATAAATTGCAATACATCATTGGAGCTTTATAATTGCTAATGTGCCTGAAAAATAGAACAGGTCCAGGCAATTTGCCAGCAAATCTTAATTTCAGCCATTCTTTAATATCACCCGGTTATTCAGTGTGACATACTTGTTTAATGTATGTCATTCCTAGTTTCAAAAGACTATGACACCTCCGTAACTTGTTTTTTCCATCCCACATCCCACCGCCCTCTCCAAAAGCCCACAGACATGAAAAACATAAAGTTTAAGAGTATAGTTCAGTATTAATTTCACCTTAGACAGCCATCTAAATTGATCTGGAACCTTCATTCAATTTCTTGGCAAGAATAAAATATGTTAATTATAATTTTTAATTGTAATTCCACAAATTTGTTAATTATACTAGTACTTCAAACATCAAAGCTAGCTTCCAAGTTATACTTGATGTTTATAATTTCCAAATAGAAGTATTCTCCCTTTAAAACAGTAGCTCAAGTTCTTAATGCGTGCAAAACCACTCACCGCAATCAGCTTCCCAGCATTCTCAGATCTTTTCCCAACCTTCATTGCAGCAGCAGCTGCAGCTCCAGAGGATATGCCAACCTGATATTACATAGTAAAATGAATCAAATTAGCAATGACGGAGGAGTATAGCACATGTAGAACAAGAGATGAGAGAAAGTGCACTCAGCCGTCTGTTTATTTTGCTCTCTTTTTGTCTATTTCTCTCTCTTTCTTATATTTTCTTAGGGTTTCAAAAGTCTTATGCAAACTCAAGCCTAATATAGGCATGTTTTCTTAATGAGCCAAGTCCAAGCAACCTTACGCTTGTTTTTAGGCTTAGTTGAAGATTGTGAATACTAAGCTTGATTTATTTACTATGCTAAAGTAATGTAATGCAAATAAAATGTTTTTAATAATAACTCCAGAACCACATCTAGCAAATACTGACTTTATTAAGAATTCCAGGACCTCTCCAAGCTGTCACTTTATCATCTTCCAGTTAACAGAGAAACAAGTGAGATGGAGATTCAACATAGACACGAGAATAAAGGAGTGAGACATAGAGATAGAAAGTGATAAACCCAGAAAATGAAGGTAACAGTCAAGATTCCTTCAAGAACAGACTGAACTGTCATTCTCCTCGTCAATTAATACGTGATTGGTTTTTCAGGTTGTTTCCTTGATTTAGGATGATTCTTTTCAGATCTATTCTCTCATTGATAGCTATGTTACATGAAATTCTTTTGGTTTTGGGGTTAAGATTTCTCATGCTAAGTTGTTCTGCTTGAGCTAAGAATGATGAAGAATACCACGACAAAAGAACCAAAACAGAAGAATTTACTAGAATGGCAAGCCAAACTAAGCTGGCTTGAGCTAGGCTAAATTGTTACAAACCAGGTTGTACAGACTTAGCTAAGCCTCAGCTCAAACTCAAGCAAAGAAGGAAAATGGCCTTTTTGACATCAAGCTGAGCCACAGCAGCAAAAAACCAAGTTAGACCCAACTCCATTTACGCCATACATCCAGCTATCACTAATCTTAAGTTGGACAAAAAACAGATATAAATGATTTTATCATTTCCTTGAGCAAAAACAAGCTCACTAAGCAGACTTGTCCGTAAATATCCGTCCAATGGTTTATCCAACCAACAAGTTTAAGGAAAAAAAGTTAGTATAATTAAATTAGTAATCTTTATTTTTGCTTCTACCTCTCCTTCTGTAGTTTAACATGATTTCTTTCCAACAACCCAGAGTCAGCCTCACCGTTGTTACCACTCTTTAGGAGGGCTAAGGTCCAACGTCCGAGTCTACCCTCCCCCTTAGACTGCATATGTACCGAAAAAAATGACTTATTTTAATTTGTATTAACTACCTAGTGCTTGCATGAACAATGGGATGATTATCAAGTAATTTGTAAAGGACCTTCATTCACTTCTTGCTTTCACTGAAAACTTTGAAGTTGCTGTAAAGTTATATAAAAAGAACTTACCAACAAGCCTTCCTGAAGTGCTAATTGCTTTGCTATTTCAACAGCTTCATCACTGGATATCTGCAATTCAAAGCCACAAGAAAGTGTACATGATCAATTAAGAGCTTGCAATTGAACATGCAGTTTAGGCTTCTAATTTGACTTGAAAGACATGGACTTATGAGAAATATGCTTGACACAAAAGTCATACACAAAACCTGCAACTAGAACCAGTTGCTTTCCACTTTTTTATCCTTTTCTTTTCTTTTCGGTTTTATCTAGTTGGGTTTGATGGATCTTAAAAACCAATATTCTCCATTCCATTTCAATTATTAACATAGGAACTGAAAAAACCAAACCAAACGAAATTGAATTATATGTTGGAAAATACTTTGATAATAAAGCAGGTGGTTTAGATCAATAAATCTTGAACTGGACCATGAAAAGAATCTACCAGTAAAATATCAAGCAAAATACAAATCATAGCCTTTGGTCTAAACAATTTTCTTTATACAACACCATGCGCATTGCACAGCATTTAACTTCATACATTGTGATCAGTTACTAAAAGTGAAAATGGTATACCTCCACCTACATCACCTCGCCAGAAGCTGCATGAATTAACATGTCCACTTACTTAAATGGATGAAGAAGTTATGCAGCTTTAAGAAAAATGCTCCAACATGTAGAACAATTCCCAAAAATAATTAACTTAACCATCTTACTGGTTAATGGACTTTAATGACTGCATAGAAAACTTTGTTGGCAAATTTCATTTAAACGGTATCAACTAAAACAAAAGCACACTTCATGAACCAAAGCTAGCAGAGAAAAATAATAGAAGAAACCTCAGAATTACTGCTTTGTTCATAATAAGGCCAGCTAAAAATGAGTTACAGCAATCACAAACAATGACTCAGGAAGAAGGAAAATGAAACTCAGACCTCTATAACTTCATCAACCACATCTTGGTCCAAATTCCTAGGTACAAAACCTGCTCCGATTCCTTGAATCTTGTGAGGACCTGTATTTTATGGGGGGAAGGGGGGCATTTAATATAAGATGCACATTCCTGAAAAATAACAGATGAAGATGATTATATCAGAATTATCTCCTCTTACCAGGCTTTCCACCGGAAAGTATGTTGCTCTCTGTAGGCTCTATCCCAATAACCTGATATATCCAAAGTAAAATACAAACAGTCAATGATTCAGTTGCAAAAGAAGGCAAGGCCATTCTTGAAAAGATTTTTTCCTGCCAAGACAATCAACTAGTAGGAGACGCTACAAATTCACTTTTCTTTGGTGATAAATTTTCTAAAATGTCTCTCTAAAATTGAATGCAATAATGTTCACAAGGGTATATGAGATGTAAATGCCATGCTGGATTTGATAAAAGGGGAATGACTACCTTGATTTTAGGATTTTTTTCTTTGAGGAACCTACCAACTCCAGATATGGTTCCACCAGTTCCAATCCCTGCAATAAAAATGTCCACCTTGCCTCTGGTGTCTTCCCAGATCTCCGGACCAGTTGTCTCATAGTGTATCTGCAAAAGGAAACATGAATTTTAATCTAAACCCATAAAATTCAACAAGGTATTAATAGGGAAATGTAACTACAAACTTTAGGATTTGCTGGATTGTCAAATTGTTGAAGCATGTAGGCATTGGGTGTGCTCTTCAAAATCTCTTCCGCTTTTTGAACTGCTCCCTTCATGCCTTTTGCTGAATCAGTTAAAACAAGCTCAGCGCCAAATGCTTTCAGAAGAACTCTTCTTTCCAAACTCATTGATGCTGGCATTGTCAAGATGAGCCGATATCCTTTTGAGGCGGCTATGAATGCAAGGCCAATGCCTGTATTTCCACTAGTAGGTTCCACAAGAATACTCTGAAAATATGGAAGAAGAATTAGTAAGCAACATGTCATTAGTACCAAAATTTTATTCAAAAACATCTAAGAGTTAACACTCACAATGAGTATCACACTAATGAAGGTTAAAAAAATGATCTCAAAAGAGACTTTGTAAGTTAAATCATACTCTCCTAAATGTAAGCATATACATTATAAAAAGAAAAGAAACAAATGAACTGTATCACATTTTTCCAGTCAAATTGGAGTACAAGCCCTATTTTATTAGTGGACAGCTATAGGGAGCTAGGAAAGCCATTAGTGATAAAATATAACAGGTTTTGACACTGGAAATCAGTTGATAAATAACCAGAAATAAGATGCAAAGCTGGGGAATTAGTCCATGCAGGAGCAAAAAGATCAAACCTAAAAGATGCCTAATAACTGGTGTGATACTAAAATGCAGCATGTAATTTATGACCCTAAGTTATGTATGTATATAGGCCCCTCTATATGTAACAGGACTGCCTAAATCGATTGACCCTGACATTAGACATGAACATCTGAAGGCTTGATGAATATAATTATAGTGACAGTTCTACACATCATGCTCAGCTAAAGATTGCTGAAACAGTATCAGATTGGTATAAAAATGGGAGCCTATGCCTAAAAGAGAACCCTAACTTGCCGATTTAAGATGACCATTATCCACGAATACCAAGATTAAGCCAAAGTAGTGAAAACAGTACAGGAAGGGCGATATGATTATAAATTTAGATCTTATAAATCCCCTGCATGTGGACAGCAGTTCCATCTACCTTCCATTACCTTTCCAGGTGTTATAACTCCTCTTTGCTCAGCATCAGCTATCATACTGTAACCTATCCTGAAACCAATTGAAAATAATATTAATTTGTTCTTTTCTTTTTTGGGGGGGAATAAAAAATTTTAATGACAGAACAGAGTAGCAGCATTTAAGCGTCACCCAAGAGATTCTGGGAGTTTAATTAGTATATTAACTTCATTTATGAATAAATTTAGCTAAGAAGAATTTAATTATCTACATGCACGTAAAGTTATTTTGAACTGGCTGCCAGGTTGAACCCACCTTAAAAGATACCCTTTTACTAGCATGTAGCACAATGTGATAATTATCAAAATTTTAGCAGAGTGTTCAACAAAAGAACGAATGGCAATCTTGAGATTTCAAGTACTTAACTGAGACGGGTGTCCCCTTAATCAAAAGTGTTGTTTGCCAAGTGGAAACAAAAGCTAACAACAATGCATACAAGCTACTAGATGCTTACAAAAGTTTGACTACCTGTCCTTCACACTGCAACATGGTTCCATTATCTCAAGCTTGGCAGCAATATTTGCAACAGAGCCCTTCACAATATTGTTCAAGTACACCATAGGTGTTTTCCCAATAAGCTGTGTTACAAAACAAACAATATAACAGAATAAAAAACAATACCGAACACAAGAAGATAGAAGGTGCACTGATTAATGGATTCAGAGGAGTTCACTTCTTTCTCCATATAGAAGGTGCATTGATTAATAGATTCAGAGGAGTTCACTTCTTTCTCCCTTAAGATAGCATATACCACAATCAAAAGAGGTTTCGTATTTAAAAACAAGAATCAAGCCCTGTACTTTTATCAGATGGACTGACCAGTCACAACATATGTGGAGACCACTAGGACAAGACAACTGCATTTAGCACTACACATGAGAAAGTGAAAGGGGGACAAGTAGTAAATTAAGACCATTAACAAAACATCAGTAGACAAAAAGCAGCATAATATTTTCAGATAACCAAATCAAACTACTCATCCTCTAGCATATTACATATGGTATCGAAAACACCCTTTCTTCCCCCTGACTAGTAATCATATGAAATCATCAATTCCCTTATGTTTATGTCAGCAATCACAACCCAAAGAATATATTCAGATCATAATCCTTGCCAATGTGTCTTAATAATTTGAATTACTTCTAAACATCAATTGAAGAAATAATCTTTCTAGATGCAGAACTACTACTCTTAACTCATTCAGACATATGACATCCTGGTAAAAGGAACAAAGAACTTCAAATGAACTACTCTTAATACTAATCTAACACTATTACCAACATGAATGCACATAAGCCTTTCAACTTCTGAGGTTCTTATCTTCGTATGTTTACCTGCTTAATTGAAAAAGTTGGAATCATATGAAAATTAAAATTAATAAAATTAATTTGTTACTTGGTGCCAGTTAAAACTATTTTACCACTGAGCTCCTCTAAAAGTTAAAGACTAGGGTAAGCAATCCCACAATTCCCATAGTTCCACTATGGAGAACATGAAACTCTTCTCACTTTAAGTAACATTGCCTCCAAAAATACCACCAGACTGTTACAATAACATTAGCAAAAAAAACATTACACAAAATTCATATTAAACACAATTTGAAATATATAAAACCCATTTACCATACAAATTACACCCTCAAAAAATAACAATCCCAATAAGTCCTACCAAATTCTCAAACTGTAATTCACATAAATATATAGTACTAAAATTGCATCCGAGCAATTAATATATAGTACTTAAATTAAGAACCAACAAAGCAAAAACTTTCCAAGAAACAAATCCAACCCATGTTAAAATTCCATGGAAACAAAACATTCAACTTCAAATTTGGTTAAAACAAAAGTAACCCATTTCCTAAATCCAATCATTTTCAAGAAGTAAATAATAAATAAAGAATGAGAATGAGACCTGAGTAACATCGTCAGCAATGTTAAGTCCTTCGATGTCAGTGTCAGGCTTGACCGACACAGCTTTACAGACAACAGAGAAACCAGAAGATGATCCCTTCCCATAATTCGGCTCCTTCAATCTCAGAGAAGCAGTGGCAGAGTTGGTGGCGGGTCCAAAAAACCCAAGCTCAAGAGTGTCGGGAGAGAGGTCAGAGGATGGCTTCTTCTTGGAGTTGAGGAAAGGAGAAGCCAACCGATTGAAGAAAAGAGAAGAAGAAGCAGCTGCAGCCATTTTCTCTGTATCTTGGTAGTTTGTTGGACTGTGCAGATATTTCTACTTCGTTTCGTTGCGTCCTAATTCTGCCTCTGCCCTATATATTTACACCTCAAAATTACGCAACAACAGCAGTCAATGAACGAAAAAGGTAATTACTGTGGTTTGTTCGGAAACGATAATGATTTATGATTAAAATTGTTGTCACGCTAATATTTGAGCTCTTTTCTGTCAAAGGATTAAGGATTAAAGTGTAGATATTGACTTCACTAATTAAGCCAATTTATCATTTATTGAAAAATTGGTGAATTCTAAGCATCATTACACACTAGTATAATTTAATTTAAGACTAATTTTGTTGTAGTTAATAATTTTAATGTTTAATAATTAATTACATTACTCATGATAAACAATGATTATACTTTTTTATATTTTAGAACTGCAAATCCAAAGAAAATTGTAAGAAAATTATGTCCACATTCAATGAATGTAGTCAGCATCCTCTAGCTCAGTCAAGGTGGAAATTTCGTAGCCTTTCGAGGCTCGAAGCGGGCAGTTTCGAGACAGGCCAAAATGAGGAAAATTTTATAAAAATAAAAATAAAAGAAGAAGAAGGAGAAGGTATATTTCTTTTTTTTTTTTCATTAAATTATCTTTTATTAAAATGGAAGAACTTTGAATTTGGAACAAGAGAAACATGAATTAAACATGTGCACCTACTAAACTTTAAAATAGTGGTAGCAATAATTTCTTTCAATATGATTGGTTTTGAGTTTTGATATCTTATTTTTTGTAATAATTTTTTTTGCAACTACTTGCGGTGCATATGCATGTTTTCCTTTATGTAGTTCGAAAATTTGTCAATGTGTACAGTATCTTATACGTTAGAGCATATTGAATATAGGTTTTTAATTAAAAAAACATTTAAAAAGTTAAGATAATTACATCTTTTATATTTAAATTAAAATGAATATAAAAACTAATTTGGAGACCAAAACAATAAATTACCATTATGATTATCAAATTACTTAAACATTAAGCAATGGTTCTGAATAATTCCTTTTTACATATACTTAAATATCTTTTTTTATTATTTATTTATAATAATTTTAAATTAACGCCTCTTTTCTTTCAAATATTTTTTCTCTTTTTTTATTTCATTGGTTTTTCTATTTCAAATTTCAACATGTCTCATGAACTAAAATGAGTTTTAGTCTCTTGTTTGGGTTTGAGATCAAAGTCATACTATTTTATGCATGTCATTAGGTAGTATATTTTTGGACAAGAAGGGAACGAGGTCTTTATTGATCATGATGATGCTTTGTCATACTTGAAATTGATTTTGAAGAGGTTATCAAGGGTGCTGCTGTAGTAGTCTTGGCATGATCATACTTTCCTCCAAATCATCCCAAAGGTGAACGCCAGTAAAACCAACCATGGAAGGATTGAAGAAGGTAAAGATTGATGAATTAAGTGTAAAGTATTGTTTTCAATGTGTTTTGAAATCGTTCAAGGACCAAAAACCAAACTCTTCCACGTTTTTTACACGAGCATATTACAAATATGACTTAAAGAAGAGCAAAGCCTCCATGATTGTACCGTTTGACAAGATACTTGTTTTGTTGATTTTGATTTGAATACCACCATACTTGATATGGATGTGTAAGATTGGCTAGTAATGATTGATTTGAATGTACCTGGATATGAAGATATTTTCTCCTTTCTATTCATTTTTTTAATTGTGTGCAAAAATTGATCAATCAATTTGTTCGTAGTTTTACTTATATCTATCTATATTTTGATATTAAAATAGCTAACTTCTTTTTCTTAATCTAAGTTTTTTAAATTTTAATTGTAAAACGTTAGGAGAGAGAATATGTTACAATGAATGAAGCACAGAATACACTAGAGGCGACAAAGGGGAAGACTAAAAGCTAAGTGTAAAGTGCTTTGGTGATAGGTGGTGAGAAATAAGAAAAGTGGAGAAAGTAACGAAGCATGGTCAGATGGAAAGGACTAAGTAAGAGAAATAATTGAAAAAACTGAGAGAATTTGAAGATAGTTTATGATGAGTATTATGACTCTTTTTCCTCGTCCCTAACTTTCAAAGTTCTTATATTTATATTGACAGAAAAAAATAAAAATCCAGGAGCACTTTCATAGTACATTAGAGAATATGTTTCAATTATGAGAATATATTGTCTTGGAAAAGCATCTTAAAGAATAATTTATTAGGTATGAAATTCAATATTGAAAAACGTGCTAATCATGGAAGAGCACGTTAAAGAACAACTTGATTAAATGCAAAAAAGAATTGGTTAACTTTTGAAAACTTGTTTATATTTCATAAAAATTTTCGATTAGCGCATATCTCAAACTCTTTTTTAGTTCTTACGTTTCTTGTTTGAGAATCTTGCAGGATTTTTATATTTTATTTTTTTTATTAAAATAAGAATAAAAAATTAATAAAATAGGAATATAGAATATAGATTTCAAAAAAAAAAAAAAAATTGATTAACTAACATTTTGGTACCTTGGAACGACACACTTCGATATAAGGTAAAAACTGACATGTATCTCAACTTTTTTCAGTTCTTACGTTTCTTATTTGAGAATCTTGCATGATTTTTATATTTTACCTTTTTCTATTAAAACAGAATAAAATAATAATAAAATAAGAATCTAAAATATATCTTTCAAAAATAAAAAAAATTTGGTTAACTAATATTTGGGTGCTTTAAAACAATGTGTTTCGATAGAAGGTAAAAACTAAGAAATTAATTAATATAGGTGACATTTGGGTGCCTTAAATATGCGTTAACTAACATTTGGGTATGAAAATTGGTTATAACTTACGTTTAATTTTATTTAGATTTCTATGAATACTTCTTTTAGATTTTTTTTGCAAAAGATTTAGTAGTATATTTGTTAAATAATAAAAAATGTTAAATAAAATAAACATTATAAGAAATGCCATAATTCAATAATAAATATGAAAAACAAGGTTCAAACATGGAAGTAATTGTTTTTTCTTGTTCAATTAAGTCATTTTAAATACATGTAAAAAAACAATAATTATTGTTTTGCCTTTAATTGTTAATAGGTATCCCTAGTAAAATAATAAAAACATTAAAAAATATATCAAAGTCATTAAAATTACATTTAGAAATTACTACATCTGTCTATAAATATTTATCTCTTATTTATATACATAAAAATTAAAATAGTTAATCTTAATATATTTCATATTTAAATTTGAATTTTTGTAGTCTTGATAGTTAATCTTAATATATTTCATATTTCATATTTACATAACCATTTAATCTAAAACCATGGGTTAAATTATAACTAATTCAAAAGATTGTCTAAGATAGTCTAAGGTAATCTAAGGTAAAGGAGTTTTACTCTTCATGATATTTGACGTTACTATAAGGTCAAGGAATACTGACCATTCGATTGATATGATGAAACTATAACCGTATATGAGAAGTCAATATTATAATCGATTAACACATTTGACTTATTTTTAAGATAAAAAAATAAAATTAAAATAACAATTAAAAAAAATAATTTATAAATATATAATAATAGGAATAAAAATAGTTATAGTGAAAAATAATCTTTTAAAAGTTTTGATGTAAATTTTTGAAAATAAATATGAAAAATCATAGTATTATTGCAATATTAACGTAGATGCATAAGAATTACCGTAATAAGTCAATTTAAATAAAATAAACATACTTGTAATGAATAATAGTTTTTTACATATATATTCTCGAGCAAACAATATTTAATCATGTACAAATATAAATTTATAAATGCATAGCAATAAAGATAAAAAAAATATGTATAAGATTTATTAACACATCTTAAAAGGAGCATACGAGACAAAGACTGTGAGCTTCCCTCATGTTTTTACACTAGTGGCCATTTGTAAGGTGGACTTGCAATATTATTTTTATTAATTATGTTACTGCCCAATAGCATAAAGAATTTAAATTTTAAAACCTTTTAATTTCTTAAATATCAAAGCAAAATATGGAACCAAGAACCCTCTTAACTATAACAATTACCATTTTCCAATTCTTGGCCACTCTTTATCTAAACTACATAAAAAATTTTTATAATAGAAAAAAAAATAGAGAAGTTGGATTTCCAGCTTTTTCACTTGAACCATTTTTTTTTCCCTCTCAAATCCTTACTTTGGGATTCTATTTGACAATTTGAGTAGTCATTATCATATTGAATATTCTTTAAAAAGGTCATTTTCCCCTTACATCAAGAAAATGAAAACAAATCAACAAACTTGATCTCAAGCAAAAAATTACAAACAAATCAACAATTTATTGAACTTAATAAAAACAAATAACCAATCTGATCACAAACTAATAAAACAAGCAATACTGAAGTGGAATTTCCCCAACAAAATCAAATTTTTTTGTTGTTTAACGGTCTCTAAACTTGGAAAGGCCATGGCCAATTCTTCAAATCCTCATCTTGAACCTTCCCATTCCTCTGACTTGATTGGCCACTACCAACCCCATGACCTTCCACAAAAGCATAGTACCTCAGCACAAAAGCAAGCCCCAACACCACCCATTCCAAGCAAAAAACAGCCACACACAACCCACCAGCCAACTTCAATATCACAACCCCATCTTCTTCCCTTACGTAAGACTTCAAGTAGCCCAAGAAATCAGCTGTTCTGGTCAAGATAAGCACTGAAACAGAGCCCTGGAATATGGATGTCAGCACCATCGCCACCATGTGAGCTGCGTAGCGTTTGTTTGATCCAGATGTGGCCACGGAGCAGCCGGAGACGGCGCCGACTATGGTGATGATGTGGAGGAGGATAAGGAAGAAGCCGCAGAGGGAGGGGAGGAGGCGGAGGGAGAGGGTGAGGAAGATGCAACTCGAGGCTGCTCCCAAGAGGATGTAGTTGCTGATGAGGAAGATCTTGTGGGTGCGGCTGTGAGATTGTGTTACAGAATTCTCAACTGAGAGACCCATTTGAAGAGAACTTGGAATCGAATCAGATGAGAACAAAAAGAAAGAAATGATCTTTTGAACCAAAATTTCGGGTTTGAAATTTTGTTCCTGGAAGAGATTGATGGTTTGTTGTAGAAAGAAAGCGGGGGGAGGAGAGTATATAAGGTGGACAGGTTGGGGTCAACGTTCGAATTTTCGAGTGGCCAAGCTGGAAATGTGACCGTTGAGGGAGGCCGCTTTGTTTTTAAAAGATAAAATTTAAAGCTTGTAACGGCTAGTTTTTTGCTCTTTGGCTAATCAGAAACTGCTTCAACAACGATTAGAAACAAAAGAAGTACAAAGGTTAGATAGGTTACCTAAGGTCAATAGAGAATAAACTATTCAATATCTATGATGTGCCAAAATTCCAATTAATTATTCTATTAAAATAATGGTTTGTTTGATCAACATTTTTAATTTTGAAAAATTAAAATACTGAATTTATGATATAAAAATTGTTTGATATGTTACTGAAAGTAAATGATAAGTAAATTTTTTCTTATTGAATCGTTTGTAAAAGAAAAATATGATTTTGTAAGTATTTTGCATTGATGATAGCTAAAGAGAAAAGAATAAATGGTTAATCTTCCATTAAGTGGTTTTTAAAATTGAAAAAAAAATTAAATCATTTATAAATTTTGAAGTGTTTATCAAACACACACTAAGTTCAATCAACGCCTACATGTAAAAATTCTTTTTAGTTAGCAAATCAAACTAGCGGGATGTCACATTGCTACCATGTTCAATAACATTGAGGACTCGGTTGAAATAATTTCAAAATTTTGGGGATAAATGGTAAACCTACTCGACAGGCTTTGAAAAACAAAATCCATAAAGATGAAATATACACTCTTTTAAGTTAATCTTGGAGTCTTTAAGTTGCTAAGGCAGAGTTTAAAGGGCTGATTTCCCTAATAAGATTTAGGCCATGAAAGAACCTAGGACCAAAACTTTGTTTATCAAAGACTCAGAACTGGGCTTTGGTATTCCTAATCCAAAGTCAATTCTCAATGGAGCAGGAAGATTGCAAACCCTGTTTGAATAGATGATTGCAGTTCCCTAATTGTATGACTGTACCCGACCAATATTCGTAAATGTAAGGATTTTGAACAAAATGTATTACACAGTCAATCAAGATGTCAAGTTCAGCTGAAAAACTACAGAGAATGAATACAACTTTCCCAAGGCCTACGTAGGACATTAAGAATCTCCCAAGATTAGTCTTCCAATCGTTAACTATCAAATTGGAAGCAAGTGACAAGTGCCAGCACAGTTCAGATCTCCCCTAGATAAATCTGTTTATCGCTACTGCATGAGCCAATGATAGGCTCATTAGGATGGAAGACACTTTCATTCACAGATCCTGTATGGCCAGGAAGCTTATACAAGATGCGTCGAGTTGTTGTATCCCATATGTACACCATCCTATCTGAACTACCAGCTGTGACCTTGCTTCCATCAGGTGACCAGCCACATTTCAACAAGTTCTTTTCAAAATTGTGTTGGTGCCCTTCCAAAATTTTTACACAACGATTCTGTGGTGCATAAGGGCGCATATCCCATACGCAGAGTTTACAATCCATACCGTTGGTGAGAAGATAGGAACCATCAGGACTCAAACTCATCCCTGTTATCATGTCTTGATGACCTTGAAGTGTCATGGTCACTTCACCTTTGCGCAGGTCCCAAACCTTAACATCATTGTCAATACCACCAGTAAAGATCTTATCTGAGGCATCAGAGAAACTAACAGCTGTAATTTGGTATTTATCAGGAAATGTTTGGATGGCACCTCTCTGACGCATATCCCAAAGTTTAGCAGTTCCATCATCAGATCCACTAACAACAAGAGGTGGCCCTCTCCGTGATGGGCAGCATGAATTCACAAAAGAAGAGTGCTCTGCCATCTTTTTTACTTGTTTTCCTGTTTCAACATCCCATGCTCTCAAAGTTTTGTCAGGGCCAGCTGATATTATCTGGGATCCATCAGTGGTCCAATGAAGATCCAAGACTGCATTCTTGTGCCCTTTTAGAACCATGAAGTTTTTGCAGTCTCCATGGACATTCCACAGAAAAATTTCTTTGTCATGCGATCCAGATGCAACAACAGTCCCAGCTGGATTGAACTTCATTGTATATATAGCACTCTGATGCCCCGTCAGTAACATTATTGGTGATTCCAGACTTGATGTGCGTTTGTTTCCATTTCGATCTGGTCCTTGAGGAGCGTATGGAACAGTAGACCACTCCATTGGCCTTGGACCTGACAAAGCATTTTCACTCTCCCTTGGAACAATTTCCATCTTCTAACCTCAGCTTAGTACTCGGCAGGTAGAAAAATATACTTCTCTGAGAAACAACCTGAAATATAACATTATAGAAAATAAAAAATTAGGTAAAAACAAATGAGTATATCTAGATAGCATAGGCACATCCAAGGCAGGCCTAGGCATTGCGATTCAAAATGCAAACTTAACAAGAAAATCTAATGACAGGAGATCCTATCCCTCTTCCCAGCATGCCCAAACTAACATCACAACTGCACTTCCAAGAAGTGGATAAGAGTGTAAACAAAAAAGAAGATAACATATGCATGTCATCAACACAGTTCAATTCAACCAATTGGAAGAACATGACATACTGATGTGTCAATCACATTAAAAACTAAAATAAATTTAACTTAGGTTCTGAACAAACCAATGAACTAGGCCAAACAGGGAGCATAAACGCAAAAGCGGCAGTAAAGAATTTAAACCAAATACAAGCTGATAAATCAAAGGGTACAATTTAGGTGACATTCTATATGCGGAGTTTATTAGGTATCCTAAGAAAATTATGTCATATTGTAAAAGTACTGATTCAATTCACCTTGATTTAAATTCACAATGGTCAGACATCCACTTTAACTCGTGACGTTATCTTAATGGACATCTAGGCAAGTTACTCTACCGAATTCTTAACCGAAAACAAATATGCTAAGTAAAAAAAATTTAATTTAAATAACAAAAAATAGTAAGTTCACTTAAAAAACAGTAACCCACTTTATTTAAAAAAAGAAAACGAAAAAAAATAAAACTACTGACATGCAACTAAACCCTATATCCATAACTACCTAAACGATGGTTAAGCGTGCAACTTATAAAGCAAGCTTTGCTCACTGCGTGGATCTGAAATTTGACTACAACAAGATAAAAATTTTAAAAAGAAAACCCCAAATCAAAACTCAACGATTCAAATTACTCAACCCAAGTAGATAAGATACGAGATATTCGAAACCAAAAGTGAAGAATAATGATAATAATAAACAGAAGAAAAGGGGATAAAACTGAAGCCATCGAAGCGCGGGCGCCTTGACTATAGATATAAGAATTAGCAAAGAGGAATAGAAGAAACGACAGGGCTAACCTTTGATGTCGCGAGGTGACCGTCGGTTGCTGAGAGTGAAAGAAATGCTGAATTAGGAAGAAGGAGCAAGGGTTTAGAGGAATACTAGTCCGCTTGTGAAAAAGCCGAAATACTAACTGGCCCAGTAACTTGGGCTGAGACACCGTGGTGGAACAAAATTTAACTTTATCGGCCCATTTAATTAAAGTTGTAATATTTTTAAGACAATAAATTTACCTTAATAATTTATTACAACAAGAATTATTTTATGGAGTATTATTATTTAAAATTAATTAAATCATGTAATAAAAACTGAATTATCCAATTAAAGGGATTATTCAAAATTTTTATTATTATATATAAAGGTGATACTTAAATCCAAGATAAGTAGAACTGTCAAAATAGGTTGGTCATTTTTATTAAATATGAGATAGGTTGAGTTAGAAAATTTTAACCCATATTGGAATCGGACTTAAATGGACCAATCCACCAAATCAATGGGTTGATGTGGGCTGGGGCAAGGCTAACTTTATGGGTCAAAAAAATAATTTTAATTAATTTAATAATTTTATATATTTAATTAAGTAAAATTAATAATTTAGTTATCAATAGTATTGTTTATTTTATATATTTCAATGTCTTTAATCTTCACTTGTCAAATTAAAAGTTTTAATTTAGATTAAAACTTATTATCTCTTTTTCTTTTATGGTAATGAATATTAGATGATAAATTGATAATGATTCAGACCTTGAGACATCATTGCTGTCTAAACAATATTTGAATGTTTTACTTGAGAATGAGAAATGAGGAGAATATAAATAAGTCTTTAAATTTTTATTATTTGATTATATATTTATGTTTATGAGATAGTAGTTTGTGTTAAAGATTTAAACTTTATTATATAATTTATTTATTTTTTTTATATTTAGTGTAATTTATTTATTTGTAACATGTTTTATTATTCAATTTATGAATTAAATTATAAAATAATTTTATTAATAAAAAATTTATCAAGTAGAATTATAAAAATTAATTTTTTAAAAAAAAAATAAAAATGGACTGATCTAATCCAACCCATGAGCTAACAAGGGGTGAGCTAAGTTGAAGTTTTAATAGCCCAAATAAAAAATAGACTGGCCCGACCCAACTTATGTTTTCTTAACCCATAAGGGCTGAGGCCGGGGTTAAGCCGAGCTAACCCATATTGACAACTTTAGAGACAAGTATTAAAAATCTTATCTAAATTCATCTCAAATCTCATAAAGTTCGAGTTCCCATGGATATACATATAAAGCCAATCCATTAACATCCCTAATTGTATATTTAAGTATTTATTTAATGAGGGAGATATATCAATTAAGATTTTATTTAAGACACTTAATCCCATTTTTCCTCTCTTTTGTATAAGAATGCAAATTATTTGTTGAAAATGATACAATTATCCACATATGACAAATTAAGATTAGATATTGTTACCTCGCAAATTAGATTCACGATTTTAAATCTTAAGATGAGTTACGTAAGGTTTATAGGATGAGAATGAATTATCTCTTTTATGTTACTTAAAATTATATATAACAAATAAAATAAAATATGTGATTAATATATCTCACACTTTAACGTAACATTGCTTTTCATATGTTAAGGAGTGTGTATGATTAAAAGAAGAGGTTATTTTTTTAAATATGTTTTTTTTTTAATTTTAATGCACGTATTGGTCATGCATCAAAATATATGAGTAAATGTTAAACATACATAAATTCGAATCTCATTCTAAAACTAAAAATAATAACAACTAATATTATTATTAAAAAATTATTTTCTAATATTAGAATTCGTGGTAAGGTGACAAACTAAATATCTATCAAATACAATGGTTTCCATCTTTGAATCTATTTTCATAATAAAAATGATTTTATTTATTAGTCCATTGTAAATGAGTTGGAAAATTTAGTATGCAAGTGTGTCGTTGGAGAGTTTGAGGAATATTCCAATAATTAGAGTTTAAGAATCAATTTTAGATATTTTGCATTTGAAATTGAAAATAAAAAGACTGTGTAACTCTATAGCATATGAACAGAAAATTAGGAGAGTAAATCATATATAAGTCATAAGTGGTTATTTGACGTCAAAATAAGGAATTTTTATTCTTAAAATTTTATAGAAAAATATGACGCAATGTAATACAAAGGCAATTTAAAAATAAGAGTAAAACTAATATGCACTTTTTTTTTTTGAAATAAACTACAAAAAGGGGTAAGTATTTGCATTATTATTCTTATTATTATAAAAAATCCTTATCTAAATTGCTATTTAAGGAGTCAATGCATTTCACTATCACTGCAAACAATCATATTGGAAATCTTGTTTTTTTAATATTACACAACTAATCCAAAGTTGTACTTGACTAATGATGATCTTCAAGTTCCTACTAATCGCAAACACCCCCCCAAAAAGCCGGTCCATAATTTTCAGAAAAACACCCCAAAACATTTCCAGTTATTCCATCTATGTCCCTTGATTCAGAATCCTCTCCTTCCTCCAGCAGGGACTGGTTCTTCCCTTCCCCTTCCTTCATCCACTCCACTTCCCACCCTTCACAATCCCCAAATTACCCCCGAAGGTGGACCACAATCCCCAGGCATTCCCGCCCTTGTCCTCCTGATTGGAAGCCTTCTAAAACGTCGACGTTTCGAAGCGTTTCGTCGTCCGATTCCGCCCCCTATGGAGACCGAAAGTACAGTCGGCTTCGCCACAGAGTCGACTTCACTCGTAGGAGCGAGAAATCGCCGAAACAAGAAGAAGACGGCGCCGTTTTGGAGCAGAAAAGGGACGTTTCTAATGCCGGTTCGGGTGGAAAACAAAACGTTTTGAGTGACAACACGGCGTCCGGTGAAATGGGTATCTGGATTGCCGGTCAACGGGTCAAAGTCCGGTGGCAGATGGCGTTTTCTATAGCTGTATGCTCTTTTTCACCACTTTCTCTCTCAAAAATTAAAAACTCTTTTTTTTTTCTTGTTGATTTTCTTATAGTCTTTGTCAGCTTTGCTTTACAGATTTTAATCACAGCTTTTGGTTCTTTGGTGCACAAGAATTTCTCTTTACATAACCGACTCATCGAATTGCAGGTACATTCAATAATTATGCCGCATTTCCCTACAACAAAGCTGATCATATTTTATGCTTAGTTTAGTGACCATGTTTTTTAGTTGTACAGCTATTGGTCTATGCACATGTTTTTTTTTTTTTGGGTCCGGTGATTCAGTTCATTTTTCATTTTGATCAAAAGTTTTATTTATTAAAGAGTTTACAGCTGCTTACTGAACTTTTTAAAAGTTCATGCATGCTTGATTCATTTGTAAATGATTAACTGGGGCTATATTTGGTTGTTGCTTTTCGCATTTCTTTTTTACCAGGAAAAGTTGCTATGATGCAATGGTGTAATTGATTAAATTAAGTGAATAGATAAACTATAATACACATTCAATTTAATTATGTCATATAAAAGATAATAATCCATTTTCTACCCACAAAAATTTAATTTCTAATTATATAAAAGTATTACTAGTATTTGCTTTTGTATGGAAATGCATTTTTTGCTTTTTCCTTCCAAAGGTAACAATCAAATGATACCTTAGTTTTCTACCATTGGGTGGAAGCCTAATTCATTTCTCTAAGTTACAGGAAAATAATGGTGATAATTATGCTTGTTCACGAATACTTTTTGAACATCTATCAAATCTTGGGTTGATTTATTTATGAACTAATATTTGAGTAAGTTTATGTGAGAAAACTTGCTAACTGAAAATTATTTCTTGCGTGTAGGACCAAATTTCGAATCTGAATATCAGATTACAAGCTTGCAATTTGTTGGACTTTGTAGATACCGATACCATGTTGCAAGAGAGTGATCATCTTTCAAGTAAAGGCTTAAAGATTCTAGCTCTGATTGTCTCACTCGTGCTGTTATCCTTACCTATTTTTATTTTCAAGTATATTGACTATGTATCTAAGTTGAGATCCTCAGAAAACTCTTCTGAAAAGGTTTCTCTTAATAAGCAACTTGAATATTGGGTAGATGTCTTTTTATCAGTTCATCCATATGCTAAGCCAGTTGCTTTGTTGGTTGCTACTCTAATGCTTATTTGTCTCGGAGGTTTGGCACTATTTGGTGTCACTCATGATAGCCTAGCAGATTGCCTTTGGTTATCTTGGACTTTTGTTGCCGATTCAGGTAACCATGCCAACTCTGAAGGTATCGGTCCCAGATTAGTTTCTGTTTCTATCAGCTTTGGTGGCATGCTTATTTTTGCAATGATGCTCGGGCTTGTTTCTGATGCAATTTCTGAGAAGTTTGATTCATTGAGGAAAGGAAGAAGTGAGGTTGTTGAGCAAAACCACACTCTGATTCTTGGATGGAGTGATAAATTGGTAAACTTTTGATTCCATAATTTATCTATGGTTATGACTCTTCATTTGGGTTTTATATATTTAATTTTGTGCTTATTGGCTGATGGGAATGGGCTACTATAAATGACCTATTTCCCCCATAATAGAGGCTGAACATTCTAGCATTAGAACCTTTACATGTACTTATACCATGTGCTTACCTATTGTACATTTTTGATGATATATACACACATACGGTGATACAGGATAAAGTGAAGTTGATTGAACAATTAAAAATTATTTAGGATTTCATTTAATTATTTTCCTGTGTTTTATGTGTTCAATTTGAATTTTCAGTATTTAGGTAATTATTAAGGCAGTTAGGGTTATATTTGATATTTTGCTATTAGGGTTTAGGGTTTAGCTTATAAGTACCCATGTTGTTTTAGTTTGACTAGTTTTGAATGATGATATTGAGTTTTAGATTTCCACTCTATTGATTCCCTTTGTTTCCTTTTATTATTATTATTATTATTTATATCTAATTCTCTGGTTTTCCCTCCCTAGTTTTTTAATTTCTCCCTAGCCTTTTCTGTCTCTCTGAAATTTCAGTACTATGATCTCTATCTATCTGTTTCCACGTTCTTGTTCTACATTATACGTACATATGAATTTGCATATGCATGTACTCTATACAAGACCCAAGGCTTACTGCTTGATTAAGTGTTTGGCTTATAATTATCCTTCTGACTTCACAATAAGAGGGTTTGGCCTTTTTGCAGCTATTGCCAAAACTTGTCCTATTCCACTTTGGTAACTTGGGATATCTCTATAAGTTTTTTCAGATACAGTATTGGCAGGTATGGAAGCTTTTTATGCTGTTGTGCCCTATATGTGATTATTTTGTTGTGATGCAGGGTTCATTGCTCAACCAACTTGCCATAGCTAATGCGAGTTTGGGTGGAGGGATTGTCGTAGTGATGGCTGAGCGGGACAAGGAGGAGATGGAGCTTGATATTGCTAAAATGGAGTTTGATTTCAGAGGGACATCTGTGATATGCAGAAGCGGGAGCCCTCTGATTCTGGCTGACCTTAAAAAAGTTTGGTTCTTTTCTTCTTCATTCATATGTCAATATAAGTTACCCTCCACTGAAAAGCTGGGCTATCAGACTTAACTGATTCAAATCTCTTAAAGTAATTAAAAGTAAAAAACTGAATCAGGTAATGCAGTTGAGGAAACAGGGAGGGCAATTTTAATTGATATCAAAATGGTTTCTGTTATTGAGCCAGTGAATATCTATCCCTCATTTAAGTTACAGAATATCTCATTAATTTGAAGCAATTTCTTGAAGCCTAAGGATGTTGTAAGCTTTGTAACTAAGCTTAGCTATCATAATTGCATCCTTCATATCATTGAGATTTATATGGACAGACTTGCACATTTTTCCCTTTTAACGGTATTTTTCTAGTCTCTAGCTTTTATAAACCACAGAAATTAAAGGAAATGGGTAAATGTTGGTAGCAGAAGTAGATCCAGTTCTTTGTCAACCTTGTTCTAGATTTGTGCTCAACTTGCCTAGGTTTCTGTGTCAATTCTGGTGCTTCAGAGTGATTGCTGCACCTTCACTTTGCTTTAGTTTCACCTATACATTGTGCTACATGATCAGGGAAATATTTTCTCCTCTGGTTGAAGATATCTAATGCTGAAAGTGTTTGTACATGTTGGCGCCACTAATTGTTATGCTGACATGCGAATTCTTTTAGGTATCTGTATCCAAGGCCCGTTCAATTATTGTCCTTGCTGAAGATGGAAATGCGGACCAGGTCTTAAGCAGATGTGGTAATGTGATGTATCTTTGATATCGGATGACGGATGTTTACTCTTATTCATGGTCTATTGCAGAGTGATGCTCGTGCTTTGAGAACAGTCTTAAGTTTGACAGGAGTAAAGGAAGGGCTAAGAGGGCATATTGTGGTGGAACTAAGTGATCTTGACAACGAGGTTCTTGTTAAACTTGTTGGTGGAGAACTTGTTGAGACTGTTGTAGCTCATGATGTTATTGGGCGCTTAATGATTCAATGTGCACGGCAGCCAGGACTTGCACAGGTTGGGTTATGCAATTTTTACCGTGAGAACTTTGTTCAGTGATATTGCACTTACGGCAGTCTGAACGTTGATGTTCCTTTTTGGACTTAATTTTCTTTCTTTTTATTATTTTGGTATTCAGCCCTATCAGTGCTTCCTTATCATTTATATCTGTAATAATTGTGGATTGGTTATGACAGATATGGGAAGATATCCTTGGCTTTGAAAATTGTGAGTTCTACATAAAAAGATGGCCTCAGTTGGATGGTATGCAATTTGAGGATGTATTGATCAGTTTTCCTGATGCTATTCCTTGTGGAGTCAAGGTTGCTTCCCATGGGGGTAAAGTTATCCTGAATCCTGATGACTCATATGTTCTACAAGAAGGCGACGAAGTCCTTGTTATAGCAGAAGATGATGACACCTATGCTCCGGCCACATTACCTATGGTGATTTCATTTTTCTTTTTTCATTTATGAATGCAGAATAAATTTGTTGGTCTTTCTTGCTAGCCTTTTCCTATTGTTTGTCATTCTATTTGGCCAATCTGGCATCAGATACTTGCCTTATTCAAGTTAGGCTGCGTTGAGGCTCACTAGTTGGAGAAACCAATAAAATAAATAAATGCAGAAACAGATAGGTGGAAGAAAGAAAACAGTCATGGAATTTGGCCCCAATTATAGTATGGTTTTATCGTTGTCAGGTCTCCACCCAGTTTTCATTTAGTTCTGTAAATTTGTCTCAATCTGAAGTGGTCATTTGTACATTGAGCTGATGACCTATGCTGGTATGCACAATTTAGCGAATGCAATTGTAGGTCTATGGTAGATTTGTTGTCTGCCTTTTGTCTATAGTAAGACTCAGAGTTAGATCCTCTTCTCACTTACCATTTACTTGCTGAAGTGATAGAATACTGCAACAATGACCTTTCTTTTTTTCCATAAAATTCTTGCCATCGCTATGTTCTGCAGTCAACATCATCAATGATGACACAAGAAACTAGTGAAGAACTTGGATAAGAAATTGGAGAGAATGCCAATTGGTTGTTTCTCTTTCACTATGTTCGCTCTCAGTGTAATGTGATAAAGAATTTGTTGCTATAATTATGGAATACTCTAAAAAATTGGGTGAAATAAAGTAGGAATGTAAAGGGAGTGGACCATGTTTAGGTTTTGATTCATCAAAGAGAAGCTGTTCTGGTTTGGCACAATAGGATGATGCCCATGATGAGACAGTAGGGGATACCATAGTTAAAACAACTTACAAAAATATAATCAATTTGGTCATTCAGGTCAAAGAAGCATCATTCTTGCACATTGCTCGACCAGCAAGAAAGCCCCAGAAGATTCTACTTTGTGGATGGAGGAGAGACATTGATGATATGATTGTGGTACGTTCTTTCTAATTGAAACTCCTAATTCCTTTTTCTCTTCGGCTGAATGCTGCAGGTATGGAGAGGAAATTTACCCGGAGACTTTATTGTCCCAAAGTCGACAGAAAAAATACTTCTTTGTGGTTGGCGACGGGATATAGAAGACATGATTATGGTAATATTACAAGGGATCTGCAATGATGCTGCCAAGTGCTTCTTGACTGCAGTTCCCACTGTGTAAACTGTGATGATTGATGTTTCAGAATTTCTCTATGATATTGTCACTCAATATCTAATGTTAATTGCAGTATTTCTTCATACAATTCTAGACTTTCTTTCCATAATTTTGCTTTTGATGCACAATGGAGAATGCGTTTCATTCTTTTCTACATTAGCAACATATATTCATTCATGTTTGTTTAGGTTTTGGATGCCTTCCTAGCTCCTGGGTCAGAACTCTGGATGTTCAATGAAGTTCTTGAAAATGAGAGGGAAAAGAAGCTTAGTGATGGTGGTCTGGACCTCACAAGATTGGTAAATATAACACTGGTTAATCGTGAAGGGAATGCAGTTATACGACGTCACCTAGAAAGTCTTCCCTTGGAATCTTTTGATTCAGTAAGTATCTTTATCACTGGTGTATTTATGACAATGACATACAGTAAGGAAATGTCAGTTAATAATCATAGTAAATGTTAGAAGGCACGACAGCCACCTAGCAGATTTCCTTGATAATGTATATTTTAGATGAAGGTTGGATAATGAAAACTTTAAGATGAAGGCTATTATCCTACTAAATGAGTTTCCTTAAAAATGTCATTTAAAACACAACAGGTCATTTATATCCTTGTTTTTATTTTTTTTGGAACTAGGATAGATGAAGAGACAAGTTTCAGGGCTTCTACGATATTTTTCCATCTTTAATTTCTGAACATATTTTTGTGGTCTGGACAGATCCTAATTCTGGCTGATGAATCTGTGGAAGATTCAGCCATTCAAGCTGATTCCAGATCTCTTGCCACATTACTATTGATTCGTGATATTCAGGTGCTTTGAGTTTTGCTCTTTAAGTCAAATTTAATTTAATGGATTGGATATTGAGTTTATCTTAAGAAGTTAGTATTATTCTTTGTGAACAATCATTTTAGAAGTTTATAAAGCACAAGTAGAAAATTTCTTTGTGAACCCCTTGGTCCTTATCAGCAAGTTATAAAAATATATTTTAAATTTGCTTATTATTCATGATGGGCATATTCTTGACAGCATATCACACTCTTTTACTTCAGATATTGACTTTCAGTCTTTCTATCTTTCACAACCATAAATTTTGTAATTTACACATTTTGTTTTTGCCAGGCCAAGCGTCTTCCGTATAGAGAAGCTATGGTAACACGCGGTCACAGAGGAAGTTTCTCACAAGGTTCCTGGATCGGGGAGATGCAGCAAGCTTCAGATAGATCAGTAATAATCAGTGAAATTCTGGATCCACGGACTAAAAATTTATTATCTGCGTCAAAGATTAGTGATTATGTTTTATCAAATGAGCTAGTCAGTATGGCATTAGCTATGGTCGCAGAGGATCGGCAAATAAATGATGTACTAGAAGAGCTCTTTGCAGAAGAGGTACTCTTTCTTTCGTGAAATCTTTATGTTGACTTGTTTATAAGTGGTAACAAAACAAGAAAAGAGCTTGGCTAAATGTTTCTGCACTAATGCTGTTGCCCTGCAAAAACTAATAACTTGTGAAAAAGTTATCCCCGAGCTTCTACATCATGTGAATGAGATTTGTCTGTGTAAGTAGTATTTCTTCTGTCATGCAAAGTAATCTGTATACGAGATATGACTATTCCTTTATATAAATCCACATCTTCCCTAATCCTAGTGATGTGGGCCTTGACTAGCAAATACTACCTTTGAGTGTAATTTCTGCAAAATACAGGTCAAGGTTCAAAGATAGTTGGAAGGACCAATGTGTAATAATTGACAGCTTGACACTACAGATGAGGTGTAAGAGTGATGTTTGCCCATTTTTTACTGGGTTGGGAAGAAGATATGAGTTAATTTGGTCCAGGCAGAAGTTAATAACTCACTAATATTCATTGGCTGGTTATCCTTTTGACTGAAGGACTGTTTCTGCCCAAAAAAGCTGGCTGAACTTTGCTTTTGCTATGTTACAGATTTTCAGATGCAGAAATGCTATACCCAGAAAGCTTTTTATCTCTAGTGTTGATATGTAACTGATAATTGTTATTTTTGATGCTCCAATAGCTTAGATTAATTATTAGCTTTGCTTTTACTTTTCTTATATAATTTATGGAGTTTCATTGTTACACGAATTACTGGTGTATTTGCATGTATTTTTTAATGTGGTTTAGGTCATGAAAGATTGGAAAGAAAAAACTTCTGCATTTCTTTTCATTAACTTACAGAGACAAGAATTTGTTTCTCACCCTATTGACTAAGCTTTATACTATTGGCATGTTCATCCGAAGGATTGAAAGATAATGAAAATGCTATATAGGTCACTCAGACTATATGTTATGTATTGTTTTATGAAGGATGTAAAACCATTTAAAGCAGTATAACAACACTTGATTAGAAGTCATTTGCACAATTCTATTGCACCTAAAGCATTAACTTATACTGTTGACTCCTTGCCAGCCATATTGTTTATTCAGGTTCTTGCTTCTATTTGTGCTCGTAGAACTTTTCATGTATCTTCTCATTACAATAACCTAGTTAATCGTTTATGAAATTTTGGGTTTTATCAGGGAAATGAGCTGCATATTAGGTATGCAGATCTTTACCTTCATGAAGGTGAAGAATTGAGTTTCTATGAAATAATTTTACGAGCTCGGCAGAGGCGAGAGATTGTTATAGGTTATCGTTTAGCAAATGCAGAGAGAGCTGTTATCAATCCACCAGCCAAAGGTGACAGAAGAACGTGGTCAGTGAAGGATGTGTTTGTGGTGATCACAGAGAAGGAATGAGTTTGTTCCTTTTTATGCTTCAAGAGGACATCCTTGACACGTAAGATTTCATTTGAAATCACTGAAGCATTGAACTTCTTACAGCTCAAAGTTCACAAATCTGAGATGTACATATAACATGCAGTTGGGATAAAAATCTACTCTTGAATCCTTTCATCAGAAATCAAACCGATAGCCAAGCTGCTTACAAAGTGTTCGATTTACCACATATCTTCCAATTTTTTGTTTTCACAGAAACAAATATTCAACCTTTGTATCATTCCTCCTTTCTGTATATGTATGAATTCCATATCCTTATTGTTACTCATGGTTGATAGGGCTCTTTGCCCCTCCGTATATGAATCAAATTTTGTTGGAATTCCTTTTCTCCCTTACAATATGTTTCCAAGACCTCGAATATGTCCTAGGACTGCAGTTATAGCAATAGAAGCCTATGCATACATCCCATGTTTTGCATGCATTAGTGTTCTAATCTTGATCATTAGGAAGGAGAAGACTATATTTTATTGTGGAAACAATAAGGCTTATCATTGCATGATATAAAAACCTTTTGTCGTTTGCTTTGTTCCAATTTCTTTTAGCGGGTAGATGCTGATGCTTACTTGTCAACTAGTCATCATCCGAAATCTTTGTGGATTTGCGTATGCACCATTTTATAGATAAAATGTTGGAATAACCTCTTAACCGTTTAGAGTCTGTTGCCACCTTGCCTTGATTTCCACTACTGCAAAATTTGCTTCTTTCTTTGGTTTTTGTTATTCTGACACTTGTTTGCTTTCTCGGGGTATTGTAGCGAAAATGGCTGAAGATGTTCTCAGTGCTGTTAAGTAGAGTTGTATCGAGTGATTTCAATTACCAAAGAACAGATCAACCTCGCATGGGGTTTCAAGGAGGAGCTAGAAAAGCTTGGTGGCTTACTAGCTACAATTATATATAGCTTTCTTGCAAGATGCAGAGGAAAGGCAAACAAAGGATAACTCAGTGGAGCTTTGGCTGGAAAAGCTCAAAGGTGTTTGCTTATGAGGCCGATGATGTGCTTGATGAGTTCCATTTCAAGATGGCTAAAAAAACTTAAAAGGACATCCATAAATCCTTGGATTACCCTAACCCAACAAATTGGCCAATCCTTGCATGAGCTAGCTATAGGCATAACTCCTGACTTTGGAGGATCAAATGAAGAGACAAGTCTCCTTTCTAGATGACTCAAACGTGGAAGGGAAAATGGCGTTTCAAAACTACTTCTCTCTGCTATGCCGCTGTACCTGTAGTAGGTATGGCAGACCTTGGAAAAACAAGTATACAATGATGTGGAAGTAACAAGGCAGTTTGATGTAACATTATTGGGTGTGTGTGTCTGCTAAGTTTGATGCCAAAAGGATTTAAAAACAGATCCTTTGATCATTTTATTGGTGAGCAAATCTCAATACTTGAAAACAAGATTGCTTTAGTTGAGAAACTTTTGAAGGGAAACACTATCTTCTTGTACTTGATGGTGTGTGGAATGGTTGACCAATAGGACGACGACCTAAAGCTTTGTTTGTCTGGAGTTGATGACATAAAGGGTAATGCAACTATTGTAAATATTTCATTATATGAAATATTTTGATGATTATATTTCATATAATGCATTTAAATTTCTAGCTAAAATACAAAATTAAATCATAAGAAACAAACAGTCAAAGAAAGAAAAAGAATAAAAAAAATTCATTTTATAACTTGAAATAATTCATGTCTTTAAATATTGAAAAAGAGATAATACAAATAGAAGGAAAAATATTAAAAAAAATGAGAGGATGATTCAATATAGGTGACTCCAACACTAGCTATTGTTATTTTAGTTTAATACAGGTGACTCAACATAAGTGTACAATTTGAGACATATATTATAATTATAATCAAATAAATTTTAATGTACATCTAATAAAAGAAATTAATAAATAAGTTAATAAATCAACATAAACTACTCTTAGAGAATTAAAAACATAAAAAATGATATAAAATATAATAAAATAAAAGAACTTAATAAAGTTTGTTTCAATCAACCTAAAATATTTGCTATCTGTGCCTTCGGTCCTGGTAGAGTCTTTTAACCTTTGATACGTTTGTTTTTTGAGTGCAATCATTCAATGTTTGTTGCCCATGATTACCACCGTTATCTTTGGCTTTTGAAAGGGTTTCTGACACAAACTCCCTCACTTTCCCAGGGTTTTTAAGCAAAGATGGGTGAAGCTGTTCTCAGTGCTGTTGTGGAAGGAGTGCTGTCAAAAGCGACTTCTGTAGCCATACAGCATATCAACCTTGGATGGGGTTTCGAAGAGGAGTTGGAAAAGCTGGGTTATTCACTACCCATAATTCGAGCTCTCTTGCAAGATGCAGATGAAAGGCAGAGAAAGGACAAGTCAGTGAGCTTTGGCTGGAGAAACTCAGAGACGTTGCTTATGAGGCTGATGATGTTCTAGATGAGTTCACTTACGAAAGAACGAAATTCTTCGAAGGAAAGCTCACTATACTTCTTTTCTCCCTCCAATCCCATCCTGTTTCGTCTCAAAATGGATAAAAAAGAATTAAGGACATCCATAAATGCTTGGATGGCCTTACCAAATTGGCCAATCAGCTTGGTCTCCAGCAGAGAGCTATAGACGTAACTCCTGTACTTGAAGCATCAAACGAAGAGACAGTCTCCTTCCTGGACGACTCCAAAATTGTTGGGAGGAAAGATGACGTCTCAAAAGTAGTTGACTTGCTAATCAACCCAAGTGATGGGCAGATTATCTCTGTTATACCGATAGTAGGTATGGCAGGTCTTGGGAAAACTACTTTGGCAAAACTAGTGTACAATGATGTTGAAGTGCAAAGGCACTCTGATGTCAGAAGGATTTTAAGACATATGTTAGAACATCTTACCGACCGAAACACTACATCGTTTGAGAAGAAGAATTCGATTCTTGAGAAATTTAAGAAGACGTTAGAAGGGAAAAAGTATCTTCTTGTTCTTGATGACGTGTGGAGTGCTAAGAAATGGGAAGACCTAAGGCTTTGTTTGTTTGGAATCAATGGAAACAAGGGGAGTAAAGTTATTGTAACAACCCGGAATGAACTCGTGGGACTAAACGTGCAGACACTTGTTGATCAATGGCACCACCCAGAACGACTAACCCACAGTGAATGTTGGTCCATAATAATCAAAGAAAAAGCGTTTAAAAGCTCTACAACATCTCAGGAATTAGAGTCAATAGGAAAGGAAATTGCTAAAAAATTGTAAAGGTTTTCCATTAGTAGCGAATGTGATAGGAGGGACGGTGCGCAATCAAATGGGCAAAGAGGCATGGTTGAACGTTCATAGAAGTGATTTTTGGGGCTCAGTGGATGATGCATTGAGATTAAGTTTTGACCGGTTGTCTTCACCTCTTAAAAGTTTTGCATATTGTGCCATTTTCCCTAAAGACTTCCGCATTGAGAAAGAACAGTTAATTCAACTTTGGATGGCTGAAGGTTTTCTTCAACCACCTCATGGTAGTTCTATGACGATGATGGATATTGGTAATAAACACTTCAATGACTTGTTGTCCAATTCCTTATTCCAAGATGTGGAGAAGGATGCGTGTGAAAATATTATAACATGCAAGATGCAAGACATGGTGCATGATTTTGCAATGTCTGTTTCAAAATTTGACATCTTGATTTTGGAGGCCGGTTCCTCTGGCAGCACAGATATTTGCAATGTTCGGCATCTTATGTGATTGACTATAGGGAATCATTGCCAACTGTTTTAACAAGTGCTACTCCAAAGTTGCACTCTCTGTTTTCAAAGATCAATGTCTTCCAAAAATGGTCAAGTACCTTCAAAAGCTTACGAGTTCTAAATTTTTATGGTGCCAATCATATCTATGAGTTGCCAGCTTCCCTTGGAAAGTTGAAGCACTTGAGATATTTTGACATCTCAAAATCTCGTATCAACACATTGCCTAGATCCATCACCAAACTTTACAATTTGGAAAGTTGAGGCATATTCATTTTTATCATGAAACACTTCAACCAGTAGAGATTGGACACCTTACCTCTCTTCAAACATTGACAATGTTCATTGTGGGTCTAGAAAAGGGACGTCTGATTGAAGAGCTAAAATGCTTAGATGAACTTTGTGGAGAATTAAAGATATGCAAGCTTGAACGTGTTGGAGACAAAGAAGAGGCTATGAGAGCAAATTTATTGCACAAGACAAAATTATGCAAGCTGATATTTGAATGGAACTCTCCGAAAGAGAGCTATGGTAACACTGAGGAAGTGTTGGAAGGTCTCCGACCTCACTCAAATTTTGCACAGCTTAGTTATTAGGAATTGCGCAGGAGAGGATTTTCCTTCTTGGAGAGTAAGAAGTGTTGCTGGTTTCAGTGGCTTGTGTTAGCTTAACAATTTAATGGAGTTGGAATTGATCGAATGTAGAAGATGTAAAAGCCTTCCGACTCTTGGGCATTTGCTCAGTCTCAAAATTCTCAAACTGAAAAAGTTGAAAAGCGTCAAATGCATTACTAACGAGTTTTATTACAACAACAGTAGCCATGGAAAGGGTGCTGCAATCACATTGTTTCCTGCATTAGAGAAATTCACCTTGGATCACGTGACAAAACTCGAAGAATCGGCAACAGTGGACTCTTTAGCAACAGCTGCTTTCCCTTGCTTGGAGGAGTTGAATATTTTGTGGTGTCCTGTCTTGAAAAGTGTTCCAATTACAAGGCAACCTTCATCTCTTCGGAAGCTTCACATCGAGTGGTGTGAAGAATTAAGCAATATAGAAGAAGAGTTATCTGCTTAATCATAGAAGGTTGTTCCAAGTTAAGCCCCATTCCGGATTTGGAAGGATTTTCTTCCATCGTAAACTTAGAGCTTGTTCACTGTGACAAATTGGAAAGTGTTCCTTTAATGGGACGATGTTCAGCTCTTCAGAAGCTCCACATTGAAGTGTAGGAAATTAATCGATATACGAGATGGATTATCTTGCTCCACCTGTCTCAAAAGGTTTTTTATAAACTCGTGTCCTAATTTATCCTCTGTTCCAGATTTAGAAGGATTTTCCAGTCTTGAAAGTCTAGATTTTGCTGGGACAAATTGGAAAGACTTCCCATAATTCATCTCTTCTAACTTTCTGTATTGACAGGTGTGAAAAGTTAAATGAAATAGGAGATGCACTATCTAACTCCGCTTGTCTGGAATCTTTAGTTATAGAGGATTGTTGTTATCTGATTGGATGGGCTCTTTTCTCTTAAAGAGTTGATGGTTTGCCATTGTCCTCGGTTGACAAATTTTCAAACAACAGGCGAATTTTCATTTCTAGGGGAGCTCAATATCGAAAATTTCAGGGAACTGAGTTGTATTGGGGATGGACTGTACTTCCACACGTATCCAAAAGTTGAGCATACGCCTTCGTCCGAAGCTGAGCTCCATCCAACCTACGGATGGACTCTCTTCTCTTAAGGGCTTGGACTTCACAGAATCTGGCCAAGGCTTAACTTGTCTACTACCAAGTTTACTGCAATTCAATAATTGTCTTAGGGAGCTGACTATATCTGGTTTCTCTAATCTGATATCTATTCCAGAAAATCTGGGGAAATTGCAGTCTCTTGTTTACTTAAACATCACATGGTGTCCAAAATTGAGGTGCATTCCAGAGGACATCCTCGGCAATTTAACCCATTTGGAAAGATTGAGGATTGGTGGTTTCTCAGAAGAGCAAGAGGAGTTCCCAGGTCTCAGTTCAGTCCAACACCTCCAACCCTCCCTTGAATATTTGCATCTGATTGGATGGGAAAAGCTACAGTGCCTCATTGCCCTTCAAAAATTGCGTATGGAGAGGTTTCAAGAAATGGAAGCCTTGCCCGAGTGGTTTGGAGAAATCTCTCATTACTTCGACGGCTAAAACTTATATTTCTTGTCATAATCTCATGCAACTGCCTTCCCTGGAAGTTGTGCGAAGCCTGGCCTTAAAGAAGCTTCAATGTTCAGACTGTCCTCGATTAAAGGGGAGATGCGCCAAAGACAGCGGTCCAGAGTGGTCCAAGATTTCCCACATTCCACTAACCTTTATTGATGGTAATAAGTTCACTGTAAAAGCCACAAATTCTCGCCTTTCTATGAATTTTTATCAGTACTTCTCCTTTCTTCCTGTAGGCTCAAACGTAACCTTCTTTTGTTTCTTCCCCACCCAGATACTCCACATGGCTTTTTGGCATTTGCGGGATTAAGTATGGGCCTTTACATTACTCATGCTAAGACCAATAGTAGTAGAAACTGAAGTGATTAGCACAAAAGTAAGTTCTTTTTCTCAATTTCTGTCCCAAGCAATGCATGACCATTTCCATTTCTTGGAGCATATTGGTTGTAAATAACGCATCCAATTCACCTTATGGGCACTACAAAACATTGCATTGGAACCCCCTTTGGTTCCTGGAAATTTATACATGAGATTACCAGTATCTTGTTGTCCGTGATTACTTTAGCAGCCAGTGAATCACAAATTGATTGAAAGTTCAATCTGTATCGATGATGTTAGTT